AAAAAGCAGAAGCAGTGTAGTACTACACATGTATTTAGCAGAAACAAAGGTAATTATGGATATAAAACACACTCAGTTGGAGACAGGTGAATTCCATCTAATCATCAGAAATTCGATCATGAGGAAGTTTATAATCGGACCTTCAGGTTAATGTTCGTATGTCAAATCCCTTCCAGAGATGCACATCAGTCTAAGATGCCTTCCTAACAACCAGACTCCAATGTTTTCGAGAGACGGTTAGATTCACCGAGAAACTACAGAGTTTGCGATTGGCCTTTTGAAGTTGGAGACTCGGTGGAGGCGTCACTTTTAGGTGCTGACATTTGGTCAAAAGAAGAGGATAATGATTCTATCGGTGGCGCAATAACTCAGTAATTGAACTGTCACTCCTTTGAACTCACTTTTCTTACTAAGTAGAGATGGAGTTGTAGGTTAGCGTGGAGTTATTGGACAACAATGGATTAAGCAGACATACTGGCATACTTTCCCAAAGCAGCCTGATGGAGCTGAATAAGTTCAAATGACCTTCAAGAGGTTTGGCTGGTCACTTCAAAAATTTGTCTTAGTGGCAATTTGAACAAAGCAGTGGAGAAGCTCCATTTGGTTGGTGCCTTTGACTAAGTGGTTATGGCAACAAACAAACACTTAATTTTGTATGCAAATAGTGTGAGAGGTGGGTGCTACTGGTAGGTCAGGACATGCTTACCCTTTTTTTGAACACCTGGTGTCATTTAGATAGTTTACAATTTTGCCTTTTATGCCCAATGGTGCCCAATATTTCAGCACATATTCGAGACTGGCTATTATAATCTGGCATGGTGTTTTGTATTCATTATGAACAGGGTGTTTGGGTTGATTGTGATCATATAAACCTAAGGTTTTCTTGTTGGATGTACCAGTGACTTTATAGTAAAGGTTTGGATGCTCAGTGCTTTTCTTACTTCAAAGGAAATGTGTGTGGGGGCCAAAAATTTAGACAAACAGTTACCTTGTTTTAAGTGAGAAGGTGTAGTGGCTATGAAACTGATACTGTCGCCTTGATTTTACAACATAGCCTCAGATATGTATAGCTCTTCTTATGCAAATCACAATAAGACATGAGGAGGAGGTTTTTAATTCATTTTATGTCCTTCTATGAAGATACGTCTTTGTTCTCTTGTTCACATGTCTTTGGACTCCACACTTGGTATACTGATCTGTTTTAGTTACAAAAATATGATTCCTACATTAAGACCTTGCTGTGAGAGCAATTTGGTCAAAAAACTACATAAAAAATATTTTGACATCACTATAAATATTAAGATGTTGATGGTAAAGTTTCAAATTATTAAACATTTTTTCACATCACTTACCAAAAGTAAGACATGAATTATTAACAACATTGTTTGCTATTCTTTTTAGGTAATAGACAATTGAAAAGTAAAAATAATGCATAATATATGAGGCTGCCAAGTATGAGACATGTCAAAGTGTTATGCATAATGGCATTTATGTGCTCGTTTCCTGCTGCACATTGTCCATGGCTGTGGCAGTATTTTCTTTCAACACCAAAAATCTTTTCTGATCTATTCAGTGTTTAATGGAATTTGCTTGCATTCCCTCTGTAGACTGAAGTTCATATTGTGTCAGAGGCATATGTGAATCAATACAAGTCTTTTGATAACTGGCTTCTTACATATACAAAGGTTTTACATATGTGGTTCATGATACCACTTTACTCATACAAATGGTAGAGAATGTGATCAATTTAGGCAGTTTCATTTCAGTAATTTCAAATTGTACTTTCAGCAGTTTTTGTCAGATTTGAAACAATATGACCATTGGCTAAGGCATAGTGCAGAGGTGTTGAGATAGCAATTGATCCCCAGGGTCCACTTGAGTTTGAATCCAAGACATCCATTGTCTGCCCTCAACCTACCCAGCGTTTAGCAGTCCCTTGCAGAACTTTGTTACTTCTGGCTCTCCATTCTCCTGCCATGCTGTTGTGTTTTGTTTGTTTCCGCTATATGACTCCGGTTTGTCATTAATGAAGCCTGACCCAGACAATCCAGTGATTGAAATCATGAGCATCGATCCACACAGTTGGGAAACAATGATGACAAGCAAGCAAAGTCATCGAGCATGTCAATCCAATACATTTTGTTATGACAAGCATAGGTTGTTGGAGACCTATATTCTGAACTGAAATCCATACAAGTTGGCATGCTATTATGTATTGGAAATGTACTGAAAGGTGACGGTGATGACAGATGAACAGACAGATGTAATAGTGATGTTTGGAAGGTGAAGGAGTAGGACGAACATAAGGAATTAGAGAACAATGAAAGAATCCACACTGCTGAGAAGGAAAGGTGATGTGTCATGGATAGGGGATGGAAATTGAAAACTTTAACACCAGAGAATAATCAGTCTCCATTATGTGCCAAAAGAGATTTCACTGGGTGTAAAAGGCAAAATAGTGATGACAGTTGTATGAATGGATTACTGAAAATCTGTGAGACCATGTGATAGCAAGAAGGGTAAGCATGTCCTGCTCTTCTAGCAGCACCAGCCACTCACTAATTTCATAAAGAAGTAAGTGATAGTTTGTTGCCTAATGCTGCATCTAGCAGTACATCTGCCCTAGGATGGAGGCATGTGAACAGTAGAACAGGTCTTCAGCAACCCATGCTTGCCATAAAAGGCGACTAAATGCTTGATGCATGTCATCGCATCCCGATAGCGTGTATAAATGCTCATGATGTCAAACACTGGATTGTCTGGTCCAGACTTGATTATTTACAGATCACAGTAATAAAGCTTGAATATTGCTGAGTGTGGTGTTAAACAACAAACAAACAAACAAGCATGTAAACAATTGAGTCAGTGAATGAGGGAACAGCTTAATATTCAGATGAAATGAATGATAATGTATGATGTATGGATTTATGTATGAATGGACACAAGAAGGATGAACATGGATAAGCATGTGATGAGAGACGGATAGACTTGTAGATGAACAGAAAGAAGACTGCGGAATAATACATGGATGACTAATATTGGGGTGTGGGTGGACTGATGAAGAATGATTGATACATGATGAAAGGGAAAAGAGAATGCTGGCAGCAACAGGAAGAAGAATCTAGTAGGACATGGGGCATATGGTTGATAGGAAGAAGGATGGTGAATGAATGTACATAGGGATTGAAAGGCAGAAATATGCTTATAAGGATGGACCTAAGAATGACAGATAAATAATGAAAACAGAAGGACGAATGATAGACAGAAAAATTCATGTCATGTTGTATGAAGAGACATCGATGGAAAGAATAAGAAAGTTGAAGGGTAACTGGATATATTAAAATGTAAAAAGAAAATTGTGGCATGGTGGGAAAGGTAAACAATTTGAGAAAGGAATCAGATATGTAAACTTAAGAAGAAAGTGTATGCACCAATAGGCGATTAGAAGGTGGTGGAAAACTCTCAAATACAGGTGCCCAAATCAGATGCCTTTTGATTTATTACATGAAAATAGGCATTCTAGAATGTGATACTTTTGTAGCTTCTACTGCAAAAACCCTCTGTTGTAAACAGCTAAGATAATATTGTATATGCATGGCTCATAGAATAAATAAACACAGTCTGGTGCCAGTAATCATGTGAATATTAGGAATATATATCATACTCATTGTCGGTGTAACTGTGCATGACTTATCATAAACATACTTGATACACACTGGTGATTGGTGAATCAGTCAACGTACGGTCCTGATTCCTCCCAACTTGTAGTGTGATGTAGCAGATCTGGGGAGGAATCGCACACACTTATATAGTATATATAGCTATAATCTACGCTTAACAAATATTGGCGTCACAGGTCTGAATAACATTGTGAATCCCTGCAAAAGCTATCATCTACTGTTTTCAGAATTATTTTGTTTTATCTTCGGTTTTGTAGTTTTTTAAAGATATATGTCTGAACAATATTGCTGTCTAGAATGTCTGGGCAGTCTGCTATGAAAACGATAGGATTTTTAAACCGTTATAGAGTCGGTGTAAAAAATAATTCTGTATAAAATGATCACATAATGGCCAAAGAGCTTCATACCTTAGAGACATTATTTTAGAAAAATGAGAAGCAACAACCTTCTCTTGTACAGTTGTGCTGGATAAATATTGTTGGAAACAGATAAATACATTAATTCATGAAAATATTTACAAAGTCTGACATCATTGAACATTTATTTGACTTGAAATACATATTCTCAATATTGTCATTTAATCCTTAATGTATATGTAAATCACCTTGTGCCAAGGTCACCCTTATAGGAACATTTTGCTTTCTTTTGGAATCTATATATGCAGATGTATCAGGCAAAATCAATTATTGGATATTATTGACCAAAGTGGCTTTAATGGTCGCCCTGTTACTGTTTAAGAGGAAATACCTCCCGCCACCCTCACACGCCGTGCCTGCTGGAGCAGAAAAAATCTTTCCTTTTTTTCCCTCAATGCCTCTGATCCAAATTTGAGCATAGATTCATTGAACAGAGAATGGATGCAAAGTGCAAGGTCTAGAATAGGAATCAATTTTTGATTTCTCTCTCACAAAGGTGAGTGCAATTTCTAAGAATACATGCGTGTGAGTCTCAAACGGGCCAAAGCGTGTGGATAGAAGTGATGATAGAATATCGGAGTGTATTCAGTTGCCGATTTAATCTCCTTCTTCGTCCCCCACAGTCCTCCAGACCATGAAATCAGGATCGTAGAGAAATGACAATCAGTACCTCATTGCGAGATAATGAGAGAGGTAGAATCATCATGGATGGATGTGATCTCTGCGTTGTCGGCACATTAAGTGGAGCTGTTTGATGGGATGGATTTGTACGTAAATGAAGGACTCTCCAACTGGATTTTCTCTGTGTGTCAGATTTCTTGTAAAAGTTTTCTAATTGATTTGTTAAGACTAGCAGGATTTCTTTGAAGACTGTATTCCTAAAGAATTAAATTGTTTCTTGCAGATAAGGCTTCTTCTGAAGTTGGTTTGACCTGGATTACCATTATTGCTGCTTTTCTGATGGCAAGGTAAGATTCACTGCATTTTCATACACTTTGCTGTTGTAATTGGTTTTAAGGGAAGAACTCATTTTGATTTACAGTCTTTATTTTATCTTTAGTGAACAGTAACAGTGATAAGCTCAGTATGCTTACCTCCTGACCTGCAATGATGATGATGATGATGATGATGATGAAATGATAATAGCAATGATTTAATTATTGCTTCTGTTGGAAACAGTTTAATACGAGTCTCATAACAGCATAATATTATTTCCAATTGTCCCTGGTTAGACATTCATTTGGCAGTTGGGGCAGAACAAAGGTTTAAAAAATAAGGATCACTCGCCTGGAGGGTTTGAAAAAAAAGTGTATGATGGTTCTTGGACAACGGGTAAATTTAAATCCACTTTACAGTTGCCCAATGCCTTTTATTTCCCTTAGCACCATGCCAACCACTGATGGCTGGTTGCACTGCCAACACAAACCAAATACTTGGCAGCATGGGTTACATGCCTCGCCCCAGTGTCTCATGAGCCCACTGGAGAGTGAGATATTATACATGCTCTCTGCACCATACCATTGATTCATTCATCACATATTAAAATGGATGTTCTGAATTCTGAAGGGAACACAGCAACAAAAAAGGATTTGTTTTGTTGGAGGGGGTTCAAATTTTGAATTCTGAACTTCAATGGAGGTTAACCAATTTGAATTTGTATCTTAACTGTGTAGGGGAAGGTAGGAGTGGTGGGGTCTTATAATAAATTCTCATTTTCTGTGCGTGTGTATCATATTGTGTGTGTAAATGTGTATTTCAATAATATGGAGAGATTTCCTTTGGGTTTGTATGTGATTTCCATATTTTTTCGCATATGAACAGGCATAAATTTAATTAATGCCACAGTCAGATGTGTTTGTCCAACTTGTAAAGGTGTACATTGGCAATGGTAATAACCCCTGACATTGTGTATCATCTTAAACTAACAATATTTCTTAACAATTGCTTTGTTTTCCAAGTCCAAGTATTCCTGAAGGTAAATTTTGTTGTGTTATCAGTGACAGACTCCAATCCATTTGGCTCTGATCTAGCAATCCTGATGACATAGACAGTATGCCATTTTGTGTTTAATGCATATGTCGATAATTCAACCACAAAGGTAAAAAACATGTCCAAAGAGATACAAATCTTACTTCTGCTACAAATTTACCTCTACCGCCTGCATGGAAGAATGGAACTATAACCAGTGTTTGCTTGTTCTGTGGGATCAAGAGCTTTAAGGTATAGATCCAAATCACAAAGTTACTCTGAACACATTTGTATTTGAGAAAGGCAAAAAAACGTTGCTGACCAAGTTTTGGAAGTCATCCTGAAAAGAATATTTTTCTCACCAATACTGGAAGATTTGAAAATGACTTCATGATATCAAAGGAGAGAATTAAAAGTGAAAACAAACTAACAGAGTTGGAAAAGCATCACAACAAAAATTATTACTAGTACCATGTTACCGCAGATATCTACAGTGTATATGTATGATAAGCCATATGAAAAAGACTTGATATTTAGCATTAGATATAATCTTTTTTAACATTTGTAATGGTGATATAAGCTAAGGTCACTTAGTGAGAATTAGCCAGTGCATGTGTCTGATGTTATTGATTATATGAAAAGACATTGTTATCAGGATCATTACCATCAGCGTCCTTTATCACCAAATCTGCAGACATGATGATGCCCTCCCGTATTGATGGGTCAGGCTGACTTCCTGGAAGCAGTGCCAGGGGATGTGACCTCCGACTGAGCTTAGTTCCTGCAACTGTCTAACTGATTCCAATGTTTTACACAACGATTGACATGGTGGTGTGGATTATTGTATACATCTTTAGATAACTTTACATTTGTTTTGTCACACATATACCATTTACTTTGTAAAAACCGAAAACTTCCAGCTAAAGAATAAAACACTGTTGCTCACCTGTCTGTCAGGGTAACGTTACCATGTGGGTACAATGCCAATTCATGTTTTGAAGTCCCCCTGCCACTGTGGCTGAGGGATATGCATTCACACCCTTTGTTCCTTATTCTTGTCCTTGAAAGGGGCGGTCGGGTAGCCTAGTGGTTAAAGCCCTCGCTCGTCACGCCGAAGACCTGGGTTCGATTCCTGACATGGGTACAATTTGTGAAGCCCATTTCTGGTGTCCCCCGCCGTGATATTGCTGGAATATTACTAAAAGCGACGTAAAACCATATTCACTCACTCACTCACTTGTCCTTGAAAACTCTGCATCACATCTTCAGTAATTATATATGATTGACAAGGATCAGCTGTAACTGCATTAATTAATTTTATATATTTACCGTATTCGACGTAATAAGCGCCCAGGGCGCTCTCAAAATTAGTTGAAAGATAAATTTCGTGTTCATGTACGACAGATATATTTTTCCAGAATTTAATTGCCCATAATTAAGGTTGCATATAACACACGAGTGTGTATCATACACGAATAAATAAGTCTTGTGAATATTGATCATCCGGAAGGGGTGCTAATTGGGATTGTTCACTAGCCAATATATTCGCAAATATCGCCGTGGGCGCGTATTAGAGCGGGGCGCTTATTACGTCGAATACGGTACTGAAAATACAGAAGGGATGAAGTATCATCAGTGTGCTTCTATTTATCATTTACATGATACTTCTGGATACTTTCATCATGAAGCTCTATGAACACACAATACCATTCAGAAAGTGGTTAAATGTAACAAATGTTTTATTTGGGTTAACACTTACTTAGGAAAGTGCACATTCAGGTACCTTTTTGGTGTTGAGTCCTATCCGGGATTCGAACCCATACAGCCAGAGTGAGGCACCTAATCGCCAGCACACAAAGTCAGCGATCTAACTCACTCAGCCTCCAAGGCTTCCACAAGATGACGGAATCTGGTAGTCTAGATCACATTCTATTTGTACCCCTCTGACAAGTGTAAATTGGCACGGCTTCCATGGCCGAAAGCTATGAACACACAGTGCCATTTTGAAAATGGTCAAATGTAACAAATGCTATATTTGGGATAACAGTTTCTTAGTAAAGTACAGATTCTAGTATGGATGGACACAATCCACGAAAAGTACTAGAATCTGTACTTTACTAAGAAAGTATTATTCCATATATAACATTTGTTACATGTAATAAATTAGAGGAGGGTGTTTGTGTGTGGGAGGAGCTGAGATGGGGCTGCAACCATATTTTTCTCCAATATGGCAGACTGGAATGTTCTTATACTTGATTTGTCACCATTATGAGGTTAATTTTGTCCATAGCCTCAGAAATCAAAATTTTGAAAGAATGGAAAATAATTTTATGCAGAAAGAAATATGTCTCACCCCATTGTATATATACAGAACCAACACTGAAAAGTTGTGTATCGTAAATGTAACTGTTTTGTATTTCAACATTGTTACACAATATAACATGTATTTTTGCAGCATAAGAAATACATTTAAAATTTGAAATTGCTTACATATTTGTCAATATGAGCTGAAGATATTTGATTGTCAGTGCTGACAGCACATTTTGTTAAGTGAGCTACATTGCCTTGGCACTATTTCACACATGTATTTCCAGTGCAGTCTGGGCTGAGCTTTTACTTGTTATTGAACTTTACTGGGACATGAACCTCTTTCATGTGACATATTTGATATTTGAATTCTGAAATCTATATTAAATTTCCATGTAATATTTAAACAATGCAGAGAAGTTGTATTACATTGAACTTTACGTGAACTTAAGAAATGTATTGTTTTAAACGAGTATCATGAAAGCATAAATGCCAATATGGTAGAATTTGTCCCTATGTCAGCGTGTGAAATAGTTGACTCATGATTGCAATTTGGGTTTCCTTTGTTAATACCTTCATAGAATCAAATTTCTAGAAAAATAAACTGTTGCATATGTAAGCTTATGAAATTGAAAACTTGCTAGTAACTTTTAAGGCTAGCTATCACACTTGGCCAGAAATATTTTGAGGTTATTTCGCACACAGCCCTATGTATATATAAACAGACTGCAATTCAAATGAGGTTGTTCCACTGTAAGTCTTGGCTTAATATGTGTCAGCATACACCAACATCATGGATCAAATGCGTACCAGGGTAAACTTGTAGTTGATAGCATGAGTAACATTCAGTGTCTGAAACACAGACATCTAACCCTCAGAAGTCAGCACATTCAGTACTGGGGTATATCTTATTCGTTCATAGTAATAAAGTAAGTGAGTGAGTGAAGTTTTACGCCGCTTTTAGCAATATTCAAGCAATATCATGGCGGGGGACACCAGAAATGTGCTTCACAAATTGTATCCATGTCGGGAATCAAACCCGGGTCTTCGGCGTGACGAGCGAACGCTTTAACCACTGGGCTACCCGACCGCCCCTCATAGTGATAAAAGAACAGTGTGTAAATAACATGTGATATTTTTTTAGTATTACTGCATGGACATGTAATTAATTATCATTTTTTCAGGATTACTGTTGTTATTGTTATACTGTTATGTCTAAGTGGTGTGTGCATAATCTGGCACAGCTGTCGATAGTATTAGCAACTTTCAACACCACTGACACACAATACGATCACAACATGCAACCACTCATTGTTTGTTGTTTAACGCCACACTCAGAAATATTCCAGCTATATGACAGCAGTTATAAAATAATGGTCTGGACTGACAATACACTGATTGATATCATGAACATCAATGTATGTCATTAGGATATGATGACATTGGTCAGCGAGCCTGACCTTCCGATCCTGTAAGATGCCTCTTGCAACAAGCATAGTCCTCTTATGACAAGCATGGGTTGCTGAAGACAAGTTCTTTCAGTACAAGCATCTTGTAACAAGCACAGGATACTGCATCCATGGACATCATTTTCCCCACAGGGAGACAAGCATCGTATGCTGAGGTCCTACTCATCATCTGAATCAACACAGGGAGATATGAAGGCCAAGTTTTATCCACATTATCACACAGA